AAGCAAATTTCTTGTACTCCCAAATCTCCACTTTTTCTTCTTTATTTTACTGAATTCCTTTGAACAAACAGATGGCAAATCAGAAAATTAAGAATTGACTTTAAGGCTCTGTTCTTAATATCTCCCTCCTAAAGCTGTCCCCAGTGTTTTCTCAGTAGAGCCTTAATCAGACCATTCCTCAACTCTTCACCCCTAACTGGCAGTTCCTGGCACCAAGTGGGCACACAGTTAATGTTTTCGTGTACACGCAGTATAAGCTACCACCACTGAGAGAGCCTAAAGCAGGTAGGTGTTTTGTTTCCGTCAGTGTACAGTCCTGTTCCTCATACTCTCCTTGAAGTGGCACTTACGTATTTCCAAGGTTTTAGACGGGACAGAGCATGCTGTAGAGGCAGACTGGGACTGGGACTACTCAAGTAAAGGAGCCAAGGACAGAAATTGCAAGTGGCTAGGAGTTGTTTCCTTGTTCCATGGAGGTAGTAATTCTTAGGCCTTCCCTATTTCGGTCACAGTACATTAAGAAACTCCAGGATGTGAATGAGGACTCCATAAAATTCCTGCTTCCTATACCACCGCAGGTTGCAGTGGCTCTGAGATGCTTACAGCAATGGGGTGTGTATTAATGAGACTCTAAAGCATGCCCTAGTATGTTCTGATGAGCTTTTGGTGTAGCCTTTTCAACCCTGCTCTGATTCCTTAATATATAAAAATAGAATTTATTTTTAGTTATTTCTCTTCCCACTGGGCTCGGGCAGGGTCAAAATATGACAATAAATGTAATTTTGCTCCTCATTTGCTGAGTGTTCTCCCCCTGAAGACACAATGGCTCCCTCTCTATTCTCTTGTGTGCTCTTATCTTCTATATAATAAGATTGGGGCCATCTTTTACCCCTCTTCATATTTAGTGAGAATATTTTCTACTTAGCCAGCTTTCTTTTCTGAAGCATGTTTTACTCTATCCTTGTGTCTTATGATTTATTGCATTCAATACCTAGAACGAGGCCTTTACAACTACTAGATTGTTATCTTTCTTACCAAAAAGACTTCATTGAGCATGCATTAAGAACACACTGAAGAGGGGCCAGCAGGTGGCATGTTGATTAAGGGTGTTGGACTCCCACATGACTGGCCATGTGTTCGAGTCCTGGACCTGGTGGCTTGCCTTCTCACCTTCCCTCGCTCTCGCTCTCTCTGTCCCTCTCTAGTCAAATTAAAATAAACAAAGTTATATAAAATAATTCTTTAAAAAAAAAATGAACACACTGAAGAAAGAAAGCTGTTTGGACCTTTATTCTTGTCTGACACCTCATATCTAAGAAGCCTCTTGCCTCTCTGACCCCAACCTCCATGTTTTTGAAAATAATTCATTCTTTAAATGCAGTTGTATAACCAGGTTGGTGTATGCCAAGGATTTATTGACACAACTGGAGGACAAACCAACAGAGGGCAGATCAGAAGTATTTCTGGTTTAGGAGTTCTTAAAACACTCATTATAAGAAAATAGCAGGGGGCCAGTCAATGGCATGGTGGTTAAGGTGGCTGGATTGCACATGGCTGACTGCATGGTTTGAGTCCCAAACCCAGAGGCTTGAAAAAAACTCCAGGCAGGGACCAGCAGTTAGCATAATGGCTATGTCGCTGAACTCCCATGTAGTCGACCGTGGTTTGAGTCCTGGACCCGGTGGCTTAAACTCACGCCAGGCATGTGTACATGCATGCCCAAGATCCCAAGAGGAGAATGAAGGAGAAGGGATTGCGGTGTGGCCATCCTCCCTGGGGGGTGATTTCTAGCTTTCTATCTCTCTGTCTCTCTCTCTGTTTCTGGCGAGTGCACACGCCCTAGAGTAAAAACCTCTCCAAAAAATAAAAAAGTTTGTACTAATCCATGATGAAATACAACAATAAATAATTGAGTTCTTTTTTTTTAAAAAAGAAAAATTCCAGGCACATGTGTCTGTGATCAAATGTAAATAAATAAATAAATAAATGGATAAATAAAGTTAAAGAAAATAATTCTTAAAAAAAAAAATACCATTCCTGGGAACCAGCAATTAGCATAATGGCTATGTCGCTGGACTCCCACGTAGTCGACTGCGGTTCGCTTCCTGGACCTGGTGGCTTAAAACTCACGTGCGTGCGTGCCCAAGATCCCGAGAGGAGAATGGAGGAGAAGGGATTGCGGCGTGACCATCTCCCCTGGGGGGTGATTTCTCGCTTTCTGTCTCTATGTCTCTCTCTCTCTGTCTGGTGAGCGCACGTGCCCTATAGTGAAAATCTCTCAAAAAAAAAAATAAAAGAAAAAAAATACCATTCCTTAGAAGGAAATGCCTAAAATTCTGAGAGGAGAATGGAGAAGAAGGGATTGCTGCATGGCCATCTTCCTTGGGGAAGAAGGGAACGCTTTCTCACTTTTCTTCTCCCTCTGTCTTTCTCTAGAAAGTATACATAACTTACAGCAAAACTTTAAAAAAAGGTCAAGGTTCTCAATCCTAGAAATTCCCCCCCCCCATTTCTTTCTGTCCTATATTTGACTTGGAGGAATAATTTTTGGAGCTCTTGTTCTGGAGCCCTAGGAGCCAGTTTTCATTTCCTT